AATAAAAATGATTTTTTTAGCTTTATGAGGTAATTCATGTTTACCGTAGGATAAGAACCTCACATAATTTGGATTTTGGATTGTGTTAGAGATCTAGTGTCTTTACATAAATGCACAGGGGACGTAATTTACAGCGTCAGTTTGCCTTGCCATGTTCGCAGTGGCGGATTAAGGGGGGTGCTGAGGGGGCTGCAGCCAGGGGCCCCCGATTTTTAGGGGCCCCCAAATTTCCTTTTTCATTCATAGTAAATTTCCCTTTAAAGTGAAATGTTTGGGTTTTTTTTGGGGTTTTTTTTACTATAAAAACCAATGTTTTAATATTTTAATGACAAGTTTATTTCAAATTTTGATCAAAATATCAAACTCGAGCACACACTTTAGTATAAATACTATCCCGGACAGCGTTTGCTTATAACAATAAATTGGGTTGATTTTAGAGTTAAAAACACAAACAGAGGTAAAATTCTGACACATAAATGACATGAATATCGTGTGGAAACTCTATGATTTAAACTTTAAAAAACATTTAGAGGCCTTTACTTTTAGTGAACGTAAATATCGGGTTTACAGGCCAGGGATGCCGTTTTTTAAATGGACGCCTGTGGAAATTCAACTTTTATGTGGGCCTCATAAATGGATGACACCTAAGAGGATGAATGTGTGGGTTTTTTTTTACGCTTATGCCGTGCTCACTGTTTTTAGTTGGGCCTAGTTTAACCTTTGTATATGATTAATAATTTCCTACATAGAGTGGTTTGAAATTCCTTTTTTTTGCGTCTGCAAGCAAACAAGTGCCAACAGTCTTTATCGTCAGCTCTATAACGACATTATAATATTCTCATGGATATTTATATTTGTTCAATGTTAGTCTGCATTTCCAGCTTTCTCATGCCCAATATAAAAACTTGAATTACAGTTCAATGACTAACGTGACACGGATATACAGGCTCAAGAGTTTTACTCCCAATAGCCAGGCAGGCCTCCAACTACATGGCAAACTGTGGACTAAAACAATCTCACGATGATGTTGGTTTGAAACACTACATGTTGGTCGCTTATCCATCCGTAGGCTCTGACCAGGCTTTACTTCCCCCACCACCAGCCGCGGAACATCGTCCAACCGCCAGGTACCCGGCTAGGTCGATGGTCAGAGGTTGGAAACTTCTACAGGCCTAAAGTAAACAGTCATATATTTAGTACTACTGACGTAGCAGATGGATCTCGCCTGTGTTTTGTTAGTGTGTGAATCGTGGGGTGGGGGGCAACATATAATCATGCTAAAAATGAGTACATATTGGTTAGATGTTAGGGGATCGGCGTGGTCGAGTCGGTAAAGCTTGGGGTTACTTAACCGAAATGTCTCGAGTTCGAATCCTCGGGCAGATGAGGCTCGTTAGCTTGGGATAGACACTCTTCTAGAAGAGACAACTCCATAATTAAACAAGTGCAACCTTGAAGTTTGTTCTTGGTTGTACAAAGGCTATGGAAGCAAATCCAATAAGAAAAGCAGGCTGAAATCGGAGTCAATGGCCTCCAGAGTTTCTTCCAGGCATCTCTTCGGGGGGGGGGGGGCAAAGCCCCCCCCCCCCCCCCCCCCCCCCGAAAAATTTTACCGCCCCCCCGAACGAAATGAAATTTATATAATTTATATAGAAAATATATACTTTTAACAGAATTTCAAGTGCCCCCCCCCCCCCCGGAGAAAAAAGTCTGGAAGAAACACTGATGGCCTCAATGGCGCATAACCAGTTGACACGTATCCTTAATTGTGATGGAGGCGTGGTCGAGTCGGCAAAAAGCTCATGGTTGATAAATTCGAAAAAAAAGTCTCGAGTTTAAACCCTCTGGAATATAAGGCTCGATCCCTTCCAACACTAAAAATTAAGAACGAAGAAGAAGAAGTTCTTTGTTGGAAAGGCTATGGAAACAAATTAAAAAAAGAAAAGTAGGCTGAAATCGGAGTCAATGGTCTCAATGGCGCCTAACCAGTTGACACGTATACTTAATTGTGTTGGAGGGGATCCCTTTCAACACTATAATTAAGAACGAAGAAGAAGAGAAGAAGGTTAGATGCTTATATCCAATTTACCGCTCCTTGAACACAATTCACAGCTTTTTAAAATTATATATCTATATATCTATAATATATATATATATATATATATATATATATATATATATATATATATATATATATATATATATATATATATATATATATATATATATATATATATATATATATATATATATATCAGGGGCCCCCAAAAAGTTTCAGCCCGGGGCCCCGCCCAAGCTTAATCCGCCCCTGCATGTTCGCATCAGTAGTACATCATCGGCTTGTGAGGACTGAAACAAATTTACAACAGTAATGCTTCTTTCTGACAGGTACTTTCGTTCATTTCAGATGGTTTACTTAGACAGAATATTTAATATAGATACGTCTAACTTCAATTTTATTAAACCCACAAAAGCGAGAGAGTATTTTTTTTTCTCCCTCTGCTCTTCTCTTTTTCCGCCTCAGACATGTAATTTACAGCGTCAGTTGTGTGTTCGCTTTAGTACAGAGGCGTAGCGAGGGGGGGGGGGGCGGTGGGGACATATGTCCCCGGGCGCCGACCTTAGGGGGGCGCCAAATTGAAAGTTTGAGAGGGGGGGGGTGCAAATGAAAAGTTCGAGGGGGGTGCAAATCGAAAGTTTGATGGGGGTGCAAATGAAAAGTTCGAGGGGGGGTGCAAATCGAAAGTTTGAGGGGGGGTGCAAATGAAAAGTTCGAGGGGGGGTGCAAATCGAAAGTTTGAGGGGGGGGGGGTGCAAATGAAAAGTTCGAGGGGGGGTGCAAATCGAAAATTTGCTCCCGAGGGGGGCGCCAAATTGAAAGTATGTCCCCGGGCGCCGGGAAGGGTCGCTACGCCTCTGCTTTAGTATTACAGTTTTCATCATCGGCTTGAGAGGACTGATACAGATTTACAATAGTAATATTTCTTTCTGACTTGTAGCCTACTTTCATTCATTTAAGATGGTTTACTTATACATAGATTCCATATCTAATACATTAGCAGCAAACGGCATTACAACTAACAGCATGCATACATACTTCACTTATTTAAAAAATATTAAGTGTTTAATTCAACTAGCAGTTTTTTTATTATAACTAGAGTAGAATAATTATTCTAAATACTAGAACTATAATAAATAAATTAGCTTTCTGTTATGCTCTTTTTTAAATTTAATTCTTGGTAAAAATAATACAAAGTTATCTAGTGGTCTTCTAAATTAAAACTTTTCTGTGTGTTTATTTCATTAATTTTGGGAACCAAAATGTTGATTGTTTCCCTTGTTTGTTTTTAAAAATCGGTCTAAATTAACACAAAACAAACTTCAATGTTTAACTATTCGAAAAATTTGTTAATAGTGCAATTTGCCTACATTAATAAACAATAATAAACATTATACTATTGATTACAAATCAATTACGTTTTATGTATGTATTCCAATTTACACATAATTACTAAGTTATTTAACAAACAAAGAATATGAGTTCAGACTTTTTTAAACTTATAAAACTAAATAAATCCACGTTACGGCTTTGAAAATTTTCTTTTTATTATTAAGTGTATGTTTGTTTAGTTTACAACAAGCTTTTTATAAACATTTCAAAACTTATTTATAATGTTTAATTGTTTTCTGTAATAATAGTCAGAACTTGTTTTTAACCAATTGTATTTTAAGAAGTTTAGTTTCATTGTTTCAATAACCTCCATGGTTTTGTGACAATCGACTATTGATAGTATTATTGTCTTTTGTGACTAAGTCTCCGTGTGACTAAGTCTCAGTTGTTTAATGTGACTAAGTCTCAGTATGACTAAGTTTCAGTTGTCTATTGTGACTAAGTCTCGGTTGTCTGAATAAGTCTCACTCGTCTAATGTGACTAAGTCTATTGCGTCTATTGTGACTATGTCTCAGTCGTGTATTGTGTAATGTGACTAAGTCTCAGTTGTCTATTGTGACTAAGTCTGACGTGTCTAATGTGACTAAGTCTCATCTGTCTATTGTGACTAAGTCTCATCTGTCTAATGTGACTAAGTCTCAGTCGTCTAATGTGACTGTTTCAGTGTGACTAAGTCTCATCTGTCTAATGTGACTAAGTCTCAGTCGTCTAACGTGACTAAGTCTCATTTGTCTATTGTGACTAAGTCTCATCTGTCTAATGTGACTAAGTCTCAGTCGTCTAATGTGACCGTTTCAGTGTGACTAAGTCTCATCTGTCTAATGTGACTAAGCCTCAGTTGTCTAATGTGACTAAGTCCCATCTGTCTATTGTGACTAAGTCTCATCTGTCTAATGTGACTAAGTCTCATCTGTCTAATGTGACTAAGTCTCAGTTGTCTATTGTGACTAAGTCTGACGTGTCTAATGTGACTAAGTCTCATCTGTCTATTGTGACTAAGTCTCATCTGTCTGATGTGACTAAGTCTCAGTCATCTAATGTGACTAAGTCTCATTTGTCTATTGTGACTAAGTCTCAGCTGTCTAATGTGACTAAGTCTCAGTCGTCTAATGTGACTGTTTCAGTGTGACTAAGTCTCATCTGTCTAATGTGACTAAGTCTCAGTCGTCTAACGTGACTAAGTCTCTGTGTGACTAAGTTTCATCTGTCTAATGTGACTAAGCCTCAGTTGTCTAATGTGACTAAGTCCCATCTGTCTATTGTGACTAAGTCTCATCTGTCTATTGTGACTAAGTCTCATCTGTCTAATGTGACTAAGTCTCATCTGTCTAATGTGACTAAGTCTCATCTGTCTAATGTGACTAAGCCTCAGTTGTCTAATGTGACTAAGTCCCATCTGTCTATTGTGACTAAGTCTCATCTGTCTAATGTGACTAAGTCTCATCTGTCTAATGTGACTAAGTCCCATCTGTCTAATGTGACTAAGTCTCAGTTGTCTATTGTGACTAAGTCTGACGTGTCTAATGTGACTAAGTCTCTGTGTGACTAAGTCTCATCTCTAATGTGACTAAGTCTCAATTGTCTATCGACCAAGGGATCTGGTTCAGCTGTGCCAGCCGGTAGCGCCCAATGTTCGGGTTCGGCGACGGTTCGTACACGTCCTTGGCGCGGTTGTGGATGTCCTTGAGCCTGTGGACGATGTCCTGCACGGCCGCCTGCTTCCGCCGGACGTTGCCCTGGTCGCGCGCGTTCTGCTGCATCAGCTGCCGGATGGCTACTTCTTCCTGTTGCAGCACGGACAAGGCTTGTTGGTTCTTCTGGTCCTGGTCGGAAAAGGCCTGCGGAAACGTACAGAACAGAGACTTGGTTAGTAAATGTGAATGTAAGTAACGTTTCTAGTCTGGGGTATAGCTATTATAAACATGTGATACAGCCTGATTGTGTGAGCCAAATATTTATTCGCCGCAGCGGGATATACAGGTTTACTTATAAGAGCTGACTCAATATTTTTAATAACAGTGTTACTTCCAGACTTTCTTCTCCGGGAGGGCACTTGAAATTTTCCGGGGGGGGAGGGGGGCGGACTATAATTTCTGGGGGGGGGGGGGCGGACACTGTTAAAAGTATTATATTTTCTATATAAATTCCATTTCGTTCGGGGAGCGGGGATTGAGGGCGGTAGACTGTCTTCGCCCCCCCCCCCCGAAGAGATGCCTTGGAGAAACTCTGTTTAATACCACAGGCAACTCCCCCCCCCCCCCCCCCCCCACCAACTCCTTAGCTAAAATACGACCCTAGCAATGCCACAGTTGGGGATAATCGAGTTGTATGGTGGTACATCATCTTCTGGATGTTGCTCTGTAAAACGCAAGTGAGATAGAGCCGCATTGTGTATCCGGATATCCAAGTTTACTTTAAATAAGTAAAAAGTTACTCTCTCGGACTTGGCGATCAATAGGGTAGATGAAGTAGAGTTCATCTGTTTCTTTAGGGATATGGGGTCAGTAGTCAGCTCTATGCCAACCGTCTTTACTTTCTCTAAAAAGAAGGCGGTAATTGACACGAGGTAATGTAGTGCTCCCATGGAACCTTGAGAATCAGGAACCCATATAAGCTGGGATAGACTATTGACATACCCCATTCTGGTGCTGAGCTCTACCACTGGGCCACATCGTTCCAAAAAAAACAACTTTTAAAAATATAGTATTGTGTAGTTAGAGGTAATTTAAACATGTAAAGCTGTAACTATTTAACCATCCGTACCTGATTTAAGCCATACAAGGTTATTGGGATTTCTTCCCTTGACCTTGGGTAGTGAACTGGGTGATTAGCATATGCTGGGAGACCCGGAAGTAACCCGGGCTGAGAGGGATAAACACCGCCGGCCATGGGATCAGCGAACAACGTCCTGGCATTGATGATCCCCCTTGTGGCTGTTTCTGGCATATCCACGGGCTCTCTGTCACAGTGGGGGAGGGGGGGGGGGGTGAATACAACAAACACAGATGCAGTAAAAAATATATTTAAAAATTTGATTTTTTTTTCTTAATTGTAATTTTGGATGGTATTTCCTCCAACACAATTTAATGTCTGCTTTTTCTTTTTGGGTTTTCAAACGTCTAGATGTCGGATGGGGCGGCGAGGCCGGGAGATAGCGCGCACGACTGCAAACTCGAGTGTTTCTGGTTAGGTTCGGATTTCTATTTCCAGTTTGTAGTTCGTACAAGCGTCTGACTCACGTTAGTGAAAGTACAATCTGTACAGGCGGTTGCACAAACAACCGACCCCAAGATCTCTTTAACCCACTTTACATTGTCCGATTTGGAACAGAGGTAGATCTAATTAGATAGACGATTATTCATTAAAGGTAATTTAAAATTGTATAAATTACTATATTTTCAAAAATATATTCGTAAATTTTGGAATAAAAATTTAACCCAATTCTCATTGTCTGATTGCGCTGAAATTGGACCTACTTATGGAAAATGTATTCCTTTTATAGGGAATTCATTGATAGCTTTACGTTCTATAACTTAATATAAGATTATTATTATGTCCATTCTCCTCATTGGGCCCTGAAGCTTTTATTTTTAGTCATCCCAGCATATAGCTTTAGTAAGGGTACACCATAATCCATTTATTTTTTAATCCATTTTTCATTTGTGATTTTTTTGTTATTTGTGAAAATAATGAAGGTTCTTTTCCCTTAAACTATTAATTATTATGTGAGATTTATTAATTTATAATATTCCAGAATGCGACTGACCTGGCTTTCAACAAAGATCCCAGCGACATGCCGGCGTCCGGCTGGTAGCCCAGCCCCGCCGTCACACTCTTCCGGTTGTCCGGCCTCGCCACGTCGAGCCGTGTCCGCTTGCTGAAGTAGTCGGCGATCTGGGGGTGGGGTCTGGTGAAGGTGGGCTGGTGACGGTCCCTGTATCCGATGTCGTCTGTGCTCCTTCCTTTCTGAAACCGTGAACCACTTTCTTACATGTGACTCTAATCCTAATCACTATGTGTCGTGCCAACGAGTAAAGGTTTGGTTTAACAATGTCTAATTCTTCTAATCTTCGCCGAAGTTTAGCTAACTTCATTCAACGTGTAACTCTAATCCTAACCCCACCCACTCGGTAAAATATCATATGTGTGGCTCTAAATTTTAACTTCAGTTGCCTAGTTTTGAAATGGCCTAAAAAAACATGCACGAATGGGCCTTAATTTTTACTTTCTCGTCAGAAAAACATTATTTTGCAATCTGGTCCCTATGTCTATGTGTGTGTGTCTGTGTGTATGTGTATAACTTGAGTAACGTTACAGCTAGGTTGATGAAATTTCATATATAAGTTTTATATCAAAATCGTAGATCCGTATCAACTTTTGAGCGATTTTCTTAAACGGGAAGTTGAATTTTTTCAAAAGCCTATAACTTGAGTACTATTCCAGATAGAAAAATGAAATTTTACATGTAAGTAAAATATCTAATTCTCTGCCTTCTATCAAATTTTGAGTAATTTCCGTTGAACGGAAGTAGTAACTTTTGCTATTTCCGATTTCTTAAAAAAACGCCTGTGAAATTAGGGTGGTAGGGGTGGTGTGGAATGAAGCTCACGATATGTGATGCAGCTGATATATGTTTAAGTAATACCAATGACGGAAAAAGTATTAATGTATATTGGGTCAAATTAACTTATAGTTATTTTTTTTATTTTATTGTAATTGTGTATGCTCGCAAAACTTTTTTTTTTTGTGACGTGTAACGATGAATGGGAAGGCGGATGGGTGAACATCGTTATAGTGTTTTCATGAATCCTAGATGAATCAATAACTTCCAATCGGTAGCTATGACGACAACAACGAAAACGGAAACTGTTTTCTGTTTATTTAAAAGAGCACAAGTCTGTATTATTCTATAGGTTAAACCTTGGCCGTACCAATAACGAATGAAAGCTTTTAGCATAAGCCTCACACTACAGTGAAATGAGCTAATTAGAAAACTAACAACCTGTGGTCAAAGTAATATATTTGAATGTCGTGAATGTAATTTTTTTTAAACTTATAACCCTGGTTAAGAGTAAAGTTTAGGGTTTAAATGATGGCTGAACTAATGAACCGTGTGACCTTGTTTAGAGCAGAGTTTCTTTCAGGCATCTCTTCGGTGTGTGTGTGAGGGGGAGGGTGCTTCGCCGAAGAACGTCTATCGCCCCCTCCCCCAAACGAAATAGAATTTATAGAGAAAATATATACTTTTACCAGTGTCCCGTCTCCCCCCCCCCCTTTCGGAAATTTTCAAGCGCCCCCCCCCCCCCCCACTGGTTTAGAGAAGTGACCAGCTTTGACTTTAATATAGTTACATCCTTTATGATTCTTAGTTCATTTGTTTTTCTCGCTCACAATAAGCTGGAAAGCACTTAACCCTATCTCCAGGTTTCTAGATTCGTCTGACCATGTATCAGGCGGGTGTCACAGGAGTTTGATCGTTCCCTATTTTAACACAACATGCGTTTAACTCCTGGTTTCTAGATTCGCCTGAACATGTATCAGAAGGTGTCACAGGAGTTTGATCGTTCCCTATTTTAACAAAACATGCGTTTAACTCCTGGTTTCTAGATTCGTCTGAACACGTATCAGACGGTGTCACAGGAGTTTGATAGTTCCCTATTTTAACACAACCTGCCATCTATATCATATATCAAGTTTTGTGCCAAAGGAGCGGAAAGAAAATCAATAACGGGTATGAAATGACAGCTGTGTATGCACACAGAAAAAATTCAGTCCAGTAAAATCTTATCCTACAATTGTGATCCAATTTAATTGCTTACAGAAGTATTAAAGATAAACCGCATTTATTAATTGGAATTTTTTTTAATTGTTGAAGAGGATAAACGACATTAGGAATTAAATATAAAAATTAGATAAAATAATTGTCGTTTGGAGTTAAAATATCACATGCTACTGATAAAGTTGTAAAGGGCATACTTTAGTCGTGTGGGGAATCAACCTAATTAAAAAGCTCGGTATGGGGTGAAAATATTGCTAATTGTTTTTAAACCATATTCGGTAACTCCCCCCCCCCCCCATACTGATATCTGTATCCAACTCACCATCCTCCCTCTGTTGATATATTATTATGTAGCAATACACCAATTAACTCTCCTCTAATATTGACATCTGTATCCATAGACCACAGAGGCGTAGCGACCCTTCGCGGCGCTAGGGGACAAACTTTCGATTTGCAACCCCACCTCAAACCTTCAATTTGCACCCCCCCTCAAACTTTCGATTTGCACCCGCCCCCCCCCCCCAAACTTTCGATTTGCACCCCCCTCAAACTTTCGATTTGCACCCCCCCCTCAAACTTACTATTTGTTTTTCCAACCCATTTTGGCGCCCCCTAAGGTCGGCGCCCGGGGACCTATGCCCCCCCGCCCACCCACCCCCCTCACTACGCCTCTGATACACCAACTGACCCCTCCTCCCTCTATTGATATATGTATCATTGCACCAACTGACCGCTCTTCCCTCAATTTATGTGTATCACTCCACCAACTTACCCCTCCTCTCATACTTATCTCTGTATCACTCCACCAACTCACCCCTCCTCCCATGCTAATATCTGTATCCAGTATATGCTCCACCATCCATCCGTGACCAGTGTTACGCAACACCTCCAAGAATTTCCTCAAGGACGGGATCCCTTTGTTCTCCAGACAGCCGAGAAGGACTGGCACCTGCTTGTGGGCTGGCTCCAGCTATATATATATATATATATATATATATATATATATATATATATATATATATATATATATATATATATATATATATATTTATATATATATATATGTATATATATATCAAAACTTGTAAGTTCGTGAGGTTAAACAAGTCAGGTATATTCAGTTACACAAACGGCTAAATATACTAAATATAGAGGATTTTAAGTTTTGTGAAATTAAAATAGCAACTTACTATATTCAATTACACAAACAGCTAAATATAGGAGATTTTAAGTTGGGTGAAATTAAAATAGTAAGTATATTCAGTTACACAAACATAAATATGTAGGAAATTTGTTGAAAACGTGTTAATTTTTTTTTTTTTAAATCTTTAACGTTATTGAAAGGAAAAATTGGGGAAAATGTATCAAAATTGCAGGAAAAAAAGAAAACCCTAGACTTTGGACTTGTTAATGACGAATGGTGACAAGAGAATGGGGCTTAATAGAAGGTGGCGTCCTGAATCTTGTTAAAGGACAAAAATAATGACAATATGTTATTAGTGGTTATGTAATTAAAAAAAAACTAAAGTTCTCTTTTCGATCCTGACTGTCTAGTACAGTAGAGTTCATCCATTTCTGTGACCTCAGCATATGAAGAGACAGTGTTTTCAGCACTATGTCCTACCGCCATTATTTTTCGTAACGTGAGTTAAGGATATTCTACTGACTTGAGCCCGGAATCGAACTCGATACTTTCGGGTTCGCAGTCTAGCACTCTACCTCTAGAGTGAAGCATTAAAAGCGTGACGTCTATGGACGACGAAACAAACCTTACCAATATCTTCCTACGCGTGACGTCAGTGATGAGGCCGGTGGTTCTAAGATTGTCCAGAACAGTTTTTGATAGCACCAAATGACGCCGCAACAAGAACTCGTTTTGGCGCAGTATGGCGCGTACAATATGGACGTCTGAGTCCATGCTGAAGTTAGGGACGTCCACTAGAAATACTCTCACTTAGTCCTTAATTTTTTTTTATAAAAACACTTCCATTCAAGAAATAATATATTACTACTTTTCTTAAACTCACAATTATTTTTTTAAATAGTTTAATTTTTTTTTAAAATATTTATGATTTTTTAAAATTTTGGGTTAACGTTCCTGTGCTCGAGTTACCGTTCCTGAGTTGAAAATACCTCAACACGAGCTGACAGGGAGAGAAAATCAATAAGTTTATTACAATATCAATAGCCCAGATCATTTCTTTTATTTACTTTCTAGACATGGGGATATAAATTAGTTTTTTTTGTGTCGCATATAGGCTTAGGGATTATTATTTTTTAAATTTCTTGCTGAGCAAAAATCAGACTTCTTTTTTCATTTTATTTTTTGTTTTGTTTTAATCGTGTGTGAGATGTTGTGTACGTTTAGATGATTATATGTTATAGAATATATCTGTATTTATTGAAGTTTTTGTATGTGCATTTACTGTGTATTTTATATATATAGATTAGGTATAATAGAATTTATCCCTAAGGGTTTAAATAATAACTTTTCACTACTTCATATAGCTTATACATTATCTATATATCTTTATATACATGTATAAATAAATACGTGTCTATGTGTGCCTGTGTGTGTATGTGTGTCTGTGTGTGTGTTTGGGTGGTGGTGGACTTTAATATATAAGTTTATCCACATCTGTATTTTTATATTAAAAGCTGACTATGTCTATTTAGATATCTTCGTTCTATTTTAACAAACAAAATATATTTACATACATTTTATATGTGTATTAATGTAAAATCCTTTCATAGCTATATCATATGTATATCATATGTATATATAAATGCATATTCTATGTGCATTTTTAACTACCAAACTTCAACTAAACTTCAAAATAATACTACTACGTGTTATTATTGTGGACAATAATTTTAACACCTCGAATTTCACGTCACTAATCATCAAAATTTTGTAAATCAAACGACTCCCCTCGTTGTCAAGGTAAACAGGAAACCATTTTTTATAGAAAGAACATCACTTTATAACACTTTAATCCAGCTTTTTGAAATGAATGAACGTAATTCCACCTAACACAAGTGTGTTGTGTCTATAGTGACAGGGTCCTACTGTGTAATCTGTTAACACACGTCTTTGTGTGAAAATTAAAATCCATTGAGACGGTGTGTCGACAGTGGAGCACCTACACACAGAGCGTTCAAAAAAATCCACTTTAACCAGCTTACAGTCAAATTAAAATATTAGGACCGACGTCAGCCAGCCCTTGAAGATTTTAATGTTTCTGTACTTACATTCCTATTGGTGAATTAGTTTCGGGATATAAACACTTATTGTAACGTGGCTCTCTTTGCTCATATGGTAACATTTATTTAGCCGACAATTTTAATTATTTAAGAAAATATGTGAAAGTGTAAAAAAGGCTTACATTACTGTAATGATTTTTAAAGCATACCTTTCCATGAATGTGATTATACCTTAATTAAGTGCTAGAACAACTAATCAGCTGAATTGTGTACCCAACATAAGTTGGGCTAAAAATTTAAAAGCCTGGTCAGCCTCATGATCTCTTTATAATAACCAAATATCACTCAAATTTAACCAGATCAATCAGACGTTAACGCCTGACAGATTTTTAAACATGTTTCTAAATTGCAATTATACTTGAGACAGCAAATTAATATTATATTAAATAAAGACTACATCTCCACATATCTTGTGAGAATTTAGGTATTTCCGTGTCTTCATGTACTCCCCTCCCCCTCATTCACCCTACCCCCACCGCTAGTTGCCTACGGTCCTGGGCAGATTTACAGTTCTAGTGTGTACACAGCCGGATCTCTAGAACTAAATAGTTTCATATACCGTGTTGATCAAAACACAGGTGGATCACTACGACAGTTCGATTGCCTCTATTGACATAGAAAAGTGAAACGAAAGCGATCGCCTGAACCAGGTCACATAAAAAAAAACTGGTTCCACTACAAACGTTCCTGGGTTTCTGCGACCGTACGCCACACCGCTGTACGGCACGGTACGTGTTAGACATACCTATGCTGGGATAGCACAAGGTAGCCAAGGTTTATTTTAAGTGGAGGATCTCATTGAATACGCACTTTTACGCATTGACTATATATATATATATATATATATATATATATATATAGACCTATATATCTATATTTTCATTATATATATATATATATATATATATATATATATATATATATATATATATATATATATATATATATATATATATATATATATATATATATAGTATGTATGTATGTATATTTATGTACAATTATTTATACATTATTAACTCAAAACATGGTATTTTAACCTTTGGTGAACATAAATATGAATTCTCTTTTCGAAGCTATCTTTTTTTTTTAAATATGGCTTAAAAAACAAAAAAAGACAAATAAATTAGGATTTTTGGTGTCTGAATATTAGACCGTCGCGCTTTTTGACACCTTTCACACACCTTTCCCTAATACTGATACGTCCGAGTGTCGGTTGTAATATGCACAATGCTACAATTGCTAATGTCATTATTTCAAAATTTTATTTTAAAGTTTATAACATGAGAATTTCAACACAGTAACTTTTGTTCCTATGTTTCTTAGATTCAATGAAACTTTTTAGTTATGTAACCTAGAGAGGTTGGCAGAACTTTGTCATTGGGTGTTAAGGGGTTGTGTTTTCAAAAATTATATATATATATATATATATATATATATATATATATATATATATATATATATACTCCGTGAATCAGCATAAATAAAAAAGTAGTTTAATAAATTTTAAAATTCAAAATTTGGATCATTGTAAAACGATACAAACGCACCGTTTCCAGTATCTGTAAGTTAACGTGAGACAACTTTCATTTTCAGTTAGTTCTCTTAGTTAGCTTTAGTGAACATGGCAACACATACAACCCTTTGTTAACACAAATATAGTTCATGCGCGTTTTCCCCAATTTAGCTTTGTTTTACGTCAGACGGGGTTTTAAAATTTCTCGAGATGGTGCGGTTGATTTCATTGCTTTAGAAATGGTGACATGACAGTAGTGTCTCACTTCTGTCTATGTAAACAGGCAACCGATCTTATTACTTAAGGAGTTCGGTGTCTGTTTTTCTTACATTACACAAGTTTGGATTTAAATAACTTGTGGGAATATAATTCCTCTTAAGTTCGGCTACTCTTGAAGTAATGGTAGCTGCGTTATTTGTATTTATTATGTCCCTTGAAATTTAGATATTTTTAGATATGTCCTGGTCGTTCATTTTTTAAATAAACCACTTGTTTATGTGACAGTATTACAGTTCATGTTGATTTCATAAAACTGCTTTTAGGATCTACGCAATGGCAAATTTTATATGTATTGAATTTGGTTTAAGAATTAGGGTTAGCCAAGATAACAATTAGTTTGAAATGGTATTTTAAATAATCGCAATCATTGCAACACACAATTCACGGTCCTCTGTCACGTGACTAATTGTTTAGCTTGACGCCATATTCTGTCGTTTGCTATTTCCTGGATTGTACCAACGCCGCCACTTTTGACGAATTGAACTCTTAATTTATCACACAGGTTTGGTTTGAGCACCAGCCAAATGCAATAGAAAAATCAGAAAAGACAACCTGTTCTCAAATTTAGAATTGTATTTTATATTCCTTGTCATTCTAAAAGCTTTCATAGATTATAAGTGGGTCAACCACTGACTGATTTCCTGCATTTCTGGCATTTTCAACATGCCGGTACGAAAAGAAGGTAAGCAGCTGATGTTTTGATAATTTGAACTTGATGTTACTCTTGCACCTTAATTTTTAACATTTTTTCCAGAAACGCTTATAATATCTTAAAAAGATAAGCATGTTGGTTTAGTCAGTGTTTACCTTAGAGTTTGGAGAATATTATTCTAGTTTGGGCCTAAAATTTGGGCTCTACTCTACTCAGCTCTACTGCCAGAAGTACTGGTTTACAAATTTAAGAAAAATAAATTGTCTATAATACTGATAATAGTAATAGGGCCCTAGAGAATCTAGGCCTAATAAAAATCATTTTAAAATGAAACACACATTGGGTGGATTAGGCCTATAAATTATAATTTATAATCTATAAAGTAGGCATTGGGACTAGGCCCTAGGCCTAATAGGCCTATAGGGGGCCTATATTTTAATATTTATTTATTTAGCCTAGAATGGCCTAGATCTAATCTAGGCCTAGGATTATACTATTATTATTTATTAGGCCTACCACGAGTTCTATTCTATGCTTACTTGTATTAACTTGAGTAGCCTACCTAATTGATAATTACGCCTATAATACCCAAGCCTAAACTCAAAAAACCATGATGATTGATGATTCATAGGATTTTTCTGGTTTTTGATGAGCAATAAATATTTCTCATACAATGACTTGTACTTTGCTAACCATAGAATGGACCTACAGATATCTCAGGAGGCTGGAGGCTTATTTTAGTGTAGGGCCAAGCAATAATAGATGAGGATGATTAAGCCTAGTTCTAGGTAGAATAGGCCTAATGAAATGCTTATGCTAGTCATTAGGTCTAATATTTCATACTTCATTATTTAGTCATATTAAGAATCTAGCTTGCTAAGCTACATTTCTGAATTTTTATGTTAAAAGTAAATTGTACATGTCTAGGTTATCAAAATTTAAGACATTTTTGAAAAAATGTATGCTAACAAGTGTAGTGCTGTAAATTCTATAGGCATAGGCCCTATGCCTAATATATATTTGTTTATAATTGTAGGCCCACAGTTAGTTAGTAGCTAATTTTGTCTACTGATTACGAATGCTGAAAAGCGTGATTAGTAACATGTTAGCGCACAACTGACTCTGTTGGCTGTCCTTGAATCTAGCTCAGATGGGTATCTTTATTCTCTCACTCATACAACTAAAAAGTAGTATAATTTATCATACAATTTGAATCAATGAATTCCACAGCAGGCAGTATGTTTTGTTCAGCTACAGTTCTTATATTGCATTGTTGCTTTATGCTAAGGAAATTTCAATGATAATTTTATGCTAAGAAAAACCTACTACTACTACTACAAGAAACTGTGTATTCCTACAATAGTATATAAACGATGTTTTTTCCATATATTAAACATTTTAGTTGTTTTCAACATGAAATTAAAGTATAGGCGATAGAATATTTTCCATAGTTTTTGTAGCAATTAAATTAGGCCTAATGAAATTTTTTTTTCAGTGTTTAAGATTTGTGTAACTATTGATTTTATTTTCTTTACAGATGCTCATAGAGCTCTTGAGCTACTGGAGGATTATCACACAAGGTTAACTAAGCCTCAAGACAGACCCCTAAAGACTGCTATTGAGAGAGTCATCCGCATTTTTAAAAGTCGTCTTTTTCAGGCTCTTTTAGGTAAGTAAACTCAGAATAATTTAGTTTTGTTTAGTGTTTGCGATTCATATTTTAAAACACTAGTCTGTACACATTAAGTCATGGAAAAATCATATGGGTTGAACAGGCACTTGATTCCTAAAAGAAACCTGAACAATGTGGAGTTGGATTTCAAATATATTTTTCATTCAAATTATTTTCAATAATTTCAACCATCATATCATTATATTTGTATATGTATTTCTTCCTGACAAGTGACATCCATTAATTACTTTATACATCGATGCAGATGTTCATTTTTATTTCTATTAAACGTTGTACAAATGTTATAAATTTAATTAAATTAAAAATTTCATTCCTGTAGTGCAGGGGTCTCCAAACTTTTCAGTCCGAGGGCCGCATTAACTATCAAATTTCAGATCGGGGGCCAGTTTCTTCCAGGCATGTCTTTGATTTTTCTTGTCAAAGTTCCTCAGCCATCACCAACAAACGATTTTTCTTTGGACAAAAAGATCTCCGCGGGCCGGATGAGAGGACTTTGCGGGCCGCATACGGCCCGCGGGCCGTAGTTTGGAGACCCCTGCTGTAGTGTATTGCATATGTTTTTAAACTTCACTAGTGTTTTAAAATACTTAAATTACAATTAATAAAATTTGTTTCCCTTTAATTTGATACTAACCTCAAGTATGAACATAAATCAATATATTATACATTTTCAAGATAAGTTTGTTATTAACACTTACCACCTGACCTACTCTTGCGCTCTATCCAATCAACCCTAGGTATTATTTTATGGTCAGCTCCCTGCTGCCAAGAGATTATTATACCTGTACACAAGTCTTGTTTGGTTTAAAAAATATGAATTATTTTTGTTTGAAACAATCATGTTAAAAATTAGCTCAGTGAACAAAGATGAACTAAATGTGCCAATAAGATTAATAGACCACAATACAATTTTTTTGCCATCAATAACTTGAGTCTTGATGTTGGGCTAGCTATGTATCCACTCAGTCCGATTCTGGTTATAAACATTTACAATAAGTTTTAGAGCATTCCTGTTCAGTTTATTCATGCCCGATAATTATTTAGTTGCAATATCTAATTAAACAGATCATTTTATTAAAATTTCTGCTTAACATGTTTAGTCCACATCAAGCCGTCCTAGCCTGCATGACAGTAAATTTTTGTAATTTTAAAAGAGAACTTAGTGTTACCTTAGCTCTTTTAAATAAATTTTAAATAAATGTTCTGCCCAGTATTGCGGTGAGATGTCGAATGTTATGCTAGATATTCTTAAACCTTACCCCTGTTAGATGGAAATTCTTGCCACTGCGCATTAGGAACAAAATGGGAGAGGGCATATTTGGACGATCCAAACTTTACCTTTGCGAAATAATTAGGGATTTTACTATGATTGAAGATATTTCTTTTGCAAGCTTTTCTTCTGTTGCTAAATGATATTCTGGCTATCTCTGCTTTTTAGTTTGCGCTTACCAATTAGTGATTTTTTTTTTAACTTCGCTGAATATCTCAAATTTCTTTCTCGACATTCAAATGACAGATGTTTGAATACTTGATTAAAAAAACATTCTTTCATTACTTTTTGCTCTCTGATTACTTGCCTACTTTTTCTGTTCTGTTGAGAATTCAATTTTGTATATTTTGTAATACAATTTTTTTCATTATGCTGTACATTTATTTCTCTATGGATATGTGCATCTTCGCTTGCAGCGTCAACACTAGGTAATCCGTAACACACCCAACCCTTTTCCCAACTGATCCACTGCCTCACCCACCCCACCCTTAGATCCAACCCTCCACCCCTGATCCACTGTCCCCCTCCCCTAGATCCTATCCCCACTGATCCACTGCCTCTCCCCCCACCCCAGAAACAACCCCCATCCTCCATTGCCCTCCCCACCCCTCCTCCAGACCCAATCCCCACTATTTCTCAACTCCACCCATCCAATCCTCGCTGATCAACAGCCCCCCCCCCCCCCCCACCGACCCTTCCCTGGTCTACAATATGTTGCCCCTGTACTTAAGAGATTTAGATAACCGCACCGTGATCTAGTGTATTTCATTAATAACACCGTTTCTCTGTATTGATTCATGACCGATTTACGTACACGCAACAAAACCTGGCTGTTTATGATTTTAAATTAAAAAAGACACTGATGAATTTTTCTTAAAAACTAGACTAGAAGCACCAAAGAGAAACGAAAAAATTTGTTTGTTAGTATTAGAGGGCAAGACGAGGTGGGGGCTGGCTAATCCATGCCTACATTTCCCTGGGGCTTGAGCAAATTGGAAAAAGTTGCCTCGGGAGGAGTTCAGACACTGTGCCATTGCAAACCTAATTCAAATTATGTTTTTCTTGAGCAGCAAATAGCCCTGTTCATCCTAGCTTATGGTCCTTCTGTATGATAAAAAATGGCCATCGTTTTTATGCTTTTTTTTTTTGCTTGCAAAAACATACCGTTGTGGACATTTCAGTTATCGGAATCTCGCGTAGTGTGAGCTGTATAGTTGACCAAACATTACATCTTTTTGAAAAGTTCATTGGTCTATTGTAATCTTTTATTATTGTTTATTGATTAATGTTTTTAGATTCTAGGCGTGCCTTATATATTTTCTTTTTTGTATTCATCGTACTTATTTTACGTACACCCATTATATACCCTGAGAAGACAGTCCAATACAGTATCACATCAAATTTTTTTCTACCGTTAGTATTAAGAATAAGGTCAGAATTAACGTTAAACTAGCAATACTAGCAAATTAAATGAATTTGATTGTGTAAAATTCCGGTTACTTGATATAAGATGGATTTCATATTTACACAATTTCATCCTAATTGAGAGTCGACAGGAATAATAACATAAAGGATGTTTAATACAGGGGGATGACCATTTAATTCAGAGAAAAGTCCCAGTATACCAGATCAATACATAATTTAAACTTCCGTCTGGTCGTCGTGAATGAAATAAACCCAACGAAACGACTGATGGATGTTTACAAATACACGGGGGTACCCAGTCCCTTCAGTGTACTGACCTTACCACCCAATACACGGGGGTACCCAGTCCTTTCGGTGTACCGGCCTTACCACCAAATACACGGGGGTACCCAGTCCCTTCGGTGTACCGACCTTACCACCCAATACACGGGGGTACCCAGTCCCTTCGGTATACTGACCTTACCACCCAATACACGGGGGTACCCAGTCCCTTCGGTATACTGACCTTACCACCCAATACACGGGGGTACCCAGTCCCTTCAGTGTACTGACCTTACCACTCATGTCTGGACAGTTATCGTATCCTTCTCTGTCAGTTTTCCCTATGAAATCAAGACGTATAATCCCGACACGCAAGCACAGTTGGTGTAGGTCGACTGTACTTGTGCAACCTCGGCAGACAGATTGATGTGTATACACTATGGACCAAATAGAAGAGGGATGCGTCTTTTGTTGTTTGGCAGCTCATCAAATTACGGCTTGTGTCTGACTGTATGATTTCGTTATTAAAAATTTTGTTTAGGGAGGTAATAATGAAGCCTTAACCTTGAGGTGTTTTTTTTCTTCACTTTTCTGTTGGGTACTAAGACGCCTTTTTAATTTTTTGTTTGTTTTGTTTAAAGATACCATGCCGTTGCTTTAAGCAATAATTTTTATTGTCCTGGCCATGGTTGACCTAAACTATGACGAACACATTAAATTGCATGTTCTTTCCTTAGTGAGGACTTTGATTAGGATCAGCGTAACGTTTTCAGTAGATACCTTTGACAACAATCAATGTTCCATTTGTGCGCTATAACAGTCCCACTAACACACATATATCTACCTGACAGATTCTACTGACACTGGTCAACAAGAATCATCTCATGTGTTGTTTTAATATCCTCCATCAACCGCGTTGAGCCTAACTGAAAACCCTGTTAGTGTTATCCGAGACGGTGTTCATTACTTTTTCATGACATCGCTGGCGTGGTGTTTTTATTTAACATGTTGCTCCTAATTAGAATCCAGATAGCGCTGTGTAAGTTGTGTCTTTCCTTTGTTGTGTTGATTTTTAAACTTTCGCTAATAGCCCGTACCTGGCCCCAGTGGTGTAGCGAGGTCGGGTGTCACCCGGTGCGGCACTTAATGGTGTCACCCCCCAAGGCGTAGAGACCCTTCCCGGGGACAGATTTTCGATTTGCATTCCCCTCAAACTTTCGATTTGCACCTCTTAAAAGACTGTTTAACACTCGAATTAATAACTTATTTAAGTAGAATTATCACTTTTCTCTATATATTTTGCTATTTTTTGACTTGGTGTCACCCCCCTAAATGGTGTCACCCGGTGCGGTACACCCCCCCCCCCCCCCCCCCCGTCGCTACGCCTCTGCCTGGCCCTGTCTACATAGCCCTCCTAGTCACCTCACCCCCAAATCTAACATTTGGGCAACCTTCACCCTTCTGCATTGACCCCTCCATATGAGGGAGAGCTCCTAGAACCACCACCACCCCCTCCCCAGCATTGATTGGTAGGAGGCATGTAACGGCGGAGGCGACGGGCGGTAGCGTCTCGATTAAATTTGCATGATTGCTGTTTTTCTGGATGAGGAAACTCTACCGCGTGACAGCGGTGGCCACAGAAAAAACTCGACCACATGATGCTGGTGGTACATTGGCTAGCACATAATAAGCTCGACCACATGATACTGGTGGTACATTGGCTAGCACATAATAAGCTTGACCACCTGATACTGGTGGTACATTGGCTAGCACATAATAAGCTTGACCACCTGATACTGGTGGTACATTGGCTAGCACATAATAAGCTTGACCACCTGATACTGGTGGTACATTAGTTAGCACATAATAAGCTTGACCACGTGATACTGGTGGTACATTGGCTAGCACATAATAAGCTCGACCATGTGATACTGGTGGTACATTAGTTAGCACATAATAAGCTTGACCACGTGATACTGGTGGTACATTGGCTAGCACATAATAAGCTCGACCATGTGAT